TGATGCCACATTAGCATTGTCATCATCTTGGTCAATGCAAATGCAACACACATAATGCCACATCCAAAGCAGGTGGTCTGCTGTGTGCTTTGCTGTCTTGCACTCTTCGTTGTCTTGGCCAGTCCAAACGATTTCTGCAATGTATCTATCTACCACATCTTGTCTGTTTTCTTTGCACGCTCATTGCTGTCTTGGCCAATCCAAACAATTCAAGTGCCACCTCAAAGCAAGTCTCTTCATAAACTCAAAGAACGTGTAATCAGGCAGTGGTCTATATATGGTGATACCATCAAAACAGATCAGAACACATAGATTAAAGTTTTAGATCTCATATTCTTTTGACACATCGCAGATTCCTATGACGCACGAAACTTTCCCCCATCAAATGATCGGGAAATGTTCGTGCGTCATCATTTTTCTAACCTGCTCATGTGGCTGTGTGTAATTCAGTTTATTGGTGGAATGGTACATTGCTGTCTTGGCTAGTCCAAACACAATGAAAGTTCTCTGTCAATACCCCTTCGATTTTCATGATCTTGAACTTGTTCAGATAGTCCCACACTCCGTGAAGATGCTCCCCAAAACCGTTTACGAAACGGTTGAGGTCTCGTGGAGCTAGGTCAGTTTCCATTTTCGCTCTTTTGCCCTTATGCTCACAACTCCCCAGGACCTCAATCTGCTTCGTTTTCTGTGGTCGAGGGCTCGTTCGGATACCCCCACGCTCCGTGAAGACGCTCCCCAAAACCGTTTACGAAACGGTCAAGGTCTCATGGAGCTAGGTGAGTTTGCATTTTCGTTCTTTTGCCCTTATGCTCACAACTGCCCAGGACCTCAATCTGCTTCGTTTTCTGTGGTCGAGGGCTCGTTCGGATACCCCCACGCTCCGTGAAGACGCTCCCCAAAACCGTTTACGAAACGGTCAAGGTCTCATGGAGCTAGGTGAGTTTGCATTTTCGTTCTTTTGCCCTTATGCTCACAACTGCCCAGGACCTCAATCTGCTTCGTTTTCTGTGGTCGAGGGCTCGTTCGGATACCCCCACGCTCCGTGAAGACGCTCCCCAAAACCGTTTACGAAACGGTCAAGGTCTCGTGGAGCTAGGTGAGTTTGCATTTTCGTTCTTTTGCCCTTATGCTCACAACTGCCCAGGACCTCAATCTGCTTCGTTTTCTGTGGTCGAGGGCTCGTTCGGATACCCCCACGCTCCGTGAAGACGCTCCCCAAAACCGTTTACGAAACGGTCAAGGTCTCGTGGAGCTAGGTGAGTTTGCATTTTCGTTCTTTTGCCCTTATGCTCACAACTGCCCAGGACCTCAATCTGCTTCGTTTTCTGTGGTCGAGGGCTCGTTCGGATAGCCCCACACCCCCTGAAGACGCTCCCCAAAACTGCCTATGAAGTAGTTGAGCACTCTTGGATGTATGTTACGTTCTATTTTTGTCTTTTTGCCCTTATACCCACAACTGCCCAGGACCTCAATCTGCTCGTTTTGCATAGTCTAGGGCTCGTTAGGATACCCACACACTCCATAAAAATATGCCACAAAAGTTGTCATGACCTTAATTGTTATATCTTTAATGTAAAGAAGTATAGTTACATATATGTGAAAATGGAGGCAATATATTCATATATTAGAGTCTGACAGCCAAGTAGAGCAATACATTAGCTACCACCTACATCAATGACAACATGGATAGGACTAAAAGCAGGTGATAACTAAGAAATAGTAGAGCAGACTGGCAAAGTCGTCAATGTTGAGCAGGCAGCTGATCGCGGGAAGAAATCA